TATTTAGAGCGAGGATGAGTTAAAATAGTGGAAAAAGAAGTGGGAGACAAAACCGAGGACGAAATTAGTGAATTTGAGGAGAAGTGAGAAAAATATAACTCAGGAAGAAAAAAGTTCGCCGATGATAAAGTTCTCTTNAACTCAATTCACCAAGCCCGCCAAGAATTAGAACCATATTTACAAAAGCCGGAAATAGTGGAAAAAGCATGGGAAAANTGCTATTTTGAAGAGACCGAAGACCGAAGTGGCATTAGCATGNCTTTTCTCTATTTTTTTCCTGGTGATGCTCGCAACCAAGATTATAAACAAAAAACAGTCAAACCCACCCTAGAAACGATTTTGGGTTGAAAATTAACCGAGGAAATTAATACTAATTTAGAAGGACATATCCCCGGTTTTTCGGCTGGTCGAGCCGAAGGAAAATTCAAAATTGATAATAAAATAGTAGGTTGATATTGGTGAGAAGATGGCGACGAAGGCGATTACCGGTTTTTACAATTAACTTTAAGAAATAACAAATTGGCTCTGGAAGCCTTTTGCCGAGCCTTAAAAATTAAAGAAAAAGAACTCCAAGGGTATAATTCTCCTATTCAGTCTGATAATCCCGGACTTAAAAACTGAAAAAAAACTCTACCGAAATCGTCCTCTAATCCTCCGAATTGACCTTTAATAGTTAGTTTAGCGGTAGTAGGGATTATTCTGCCGATTGGACTAATTGCTTTTATAAAGATAAAGAAAAAAAATATTATTAAAAGCAAAAAAGCCTAGTTAGACTCAGTGGTAGAGCATTCGGCTGTTAACCGAAAGGTCGCTGGTTCGAGCCCAGCACTAGGCGCCATTTATAATCTGATATTAATGNTAATTGANTTTTAATGCTGAAACATTTCTCNGGAAGATGCTTAATTTTACTATCCAAACTACCGAAAGCGACCAAACTNTAATTAGTTTTCTTAAAAAAAGACTAAAAACTACTCCGTTAAGCCTAATTTACAAATTATTCCGCACCAAAAAAGTAAAANTTAATGGNGAAAATGTTCGCTATTACCATTATCGCTTAAANNCGGGGGAAAAAATTGAAATTTCGGATAATTATCTNCAATTATCTAAACAAAATATTTATCCCCTTTCCCAAACTAAAATTTATTTTAAAATTATCTATGAAGATAAAAATATTTTGATTGCTCTTAAAGAACATGGTATAACCATGCCCAGTTTAGATAACGCGGTAAGAAATTATTTATGAGAAAAAAATCCAGTTGAGTATCAGCAACAAGTGGAGAGTTTTTTTGTTTTAACCGCCGTTCATCGGCTCGATAAACCTACCAAAGGGCT